AGTTGACAGCTTTTCATATTTAAGCAGTTACTCGCTCGCTTTATTCGCTTCACATTAGACTAAAAATCAAAATTTTTGAAACCGGTTTTTCTCGAGACCGGTTTTTTTTGGAAATTTTAAAACATCATATCGATCGAAACACGCTTAAAGAGCTTTTTTATGGTATAGCAATCAACAACCTTGCTCCGAAGTGTATTTTTGGGAAAAAAACATTATTACATCCAAATACAAATTCCTACCCATTTTCATTAGTTGGGACTAGAAGAACTTCAACACGAATGTAAAACTACTCCACTGATATGAAGTTAAATGCGTGTGGTTGATATCAAGGGCCTGAAATCAGTTTGGTTGCTTCAGGTGGAACCAGCAAGACAACAAGACACGACTGGAGAACAGATGTGACGACATCCAGAAATGGCGGGATAGACTGGAGGAGTCACGTGACCAGCTGGATGAGGAGATAGCGAGACTGAAGGCGGACAAGGAAGTATGTGAGAGGGCACTGGAGGCCAAGGCACTGCCTCTGGATGTGGCCAACCAGGCACTCACCACCAGAGAGGGCAGACTGAAGATAGACTTGGTGGACGACATACCCACTGCCGAATTGAGAAAGGTTTGAAAAAAAACCAACTCAACAACCTTCACCGCTTCCCTAGTATACCACATCCCTGTCCAAGCCCCAACCGTAACCACGTGCGACGCATAACACCGCACTATTTTATCATGATTCTGAACAACTGTCATATGTCGGCGTTTTTCCCCAAACCACGGATAAACGACCTGGATCTCCTAGTTTTGAAATTATTTTTCACAGATGATTTTTTCTAACTCAAGCCATCAGGTTATTTATGTATCCAAAAAGTTCATTTAGAAGGCTCTAGTCCTAAGTAAAATTGAATAACTCGCGTGAAATCCAAAGTCAGGGCTAGTAAACTTACAAATTACCAGAGTAAATCAACAACACTTACAATTACAATGAAAATTGCTTACAGCTAAAAACAGTCCGTGGTGTGACAACTAAGCTGAAAAACATGAGCAGACAAATGAAAGTCCGACAACTCAATTTTCCCGGAAAAACATTCTGAAAACATACTGAGAAAAAAACAAGGTCCAGCTGGGACTCAAACCCGGACCTTAGGGTTCAAATGCGACCGCGTTACCTCTAGACCAAAGGGAAGGAATCTGGAAGTTGTTTAAGTTCAAAAAAGCAAGTTCAGTTTCATATATACTTGTAAGAAAAACTCATAACGGAAAAAAGTCAAGGTTACAAGACACTTTCTCTCACAAGTGTCAATATCTTGGAAATCTCTAAAAATCTCCAATAAATTGCAAAGAATCATAAATTTTTTCAACGATTCCATAGCATTTTTGACTTCTCTCATAAAACTGCTGAGTCAATTAAACAAATTTCTGAGTTGTTGGACTGAACTATTTCAAACAGTAGCGGATTTAGGGGGGGGGGGGGGTGTGGAGGGGGGGGGGGGGCGGACACTCTCCTTCCTCAGGGATTCGACCCCCTGCTGACCCAAAGGGCCCCTTTGTACTGTTTTGAGATATCCATTTTTGGCTGACTGACCTTAAAATTTTTCTAAAGGCGCCTTTGGTGCCAATCTATACTAAGTTTGAGGGGGGAGCGCGCGACGCAAAAAACGCATTTTTTTTTGGTCGAAATTTTCCAAAAAGTGCCTAAAAACGTCTTTTTTTGGCTTTTTTACAAAAATTTGCCAAATTAGGGTCTTTCAAGTGGTTTGGGAGAGTTCAGAAAATCAATTTGGTCGGCCTAAAAAAAAAGGTCGACAAAATTTTCAAAATTTTTTTGAAAATTCGCCCCCCCCCCCCCCCCCCCCGAGAAATTCTTAGATCCGCGCCTGATTTCAAAGATGGACAAAATATTGTGTTTAGTTCTTGAAGAGTTTTTGCTATCTCTGTTAAATTTTCAAGATCTTGGGGCAAGATTTCCTAAAGATAATGCGTATTAGCTGTTTGCCTAAAATAAGTTTCAAAATAAGTTTTTTATTGCACCACAGAGCTGAAAATGTCAGTTATTTCTTTATTAGGAAGTGGAGATAATTGAGGGAACCAAAGTGGCACTGCAGCAGAAATGTGCACAGTCGTTTGAGCAGCTCTGCCGTCTGGAAGAAGCGAGGAAGCAGATCCTGAGAGACTTGGAACACAAACATGTGGCCCTAGACATCGACAATGAACAGGCCGAATTGACCCAAGACAGTGCAGAGATCTGTTTCCAGCCAAACCCCACACGCATTAGCAAAGGGTGAGTAACATTGATATTAATAACACGCATAGCCAACAAACATTTGGAAAGTGTCAACGAATTCCTGGAAACCGAAAAATTATTATTGATGTTTGTTATCGGAACTTTTTCAACACTAGAGATTTAAGAAAAAATTATTAAATTTGTCATTTTGAAGCTCTTTGAGTTTCAAGAATCTTATGATTCACAGTCTTTGTAACCCAAAAGACAACTGGATTAATTGGTGAATTTTTTTTTCCACTGAGAAATCTTTCAAATAAAATCCACTTTTGAAAATGAACTTTAAAAACATTTGTCAGGCACGTTTTTTTCTCGCCATTTGCTTTACCAATACTGAAACAATCTTGAGACAAATTGAAGTACAGTACCATACGGTTAGATTTTTTACATATAACGTACATATACAGACTTTTTTAACATAAATCTCCAAACATTCAGAACGCCATATACTCGACTAGCTAAACATACTTAACTTGCGATCAAATTTACATAAAAAATGGTTATTTGAAATTTGGTCATTGGGCCATTTTACTGAAAAAATATGAGCGGTATGAATTGATCGATCTATCTATAACACAGCACGAGAGAGCGTTTCGTTATTATTAAACTTGCCAGTTAATCAATATTTTCACAGTTCCACTTTGCTGAAAACCTTAGTATACTAAGTAAAACTAAACAAAAAATGAAACGTAGTAAGGCTGCTAGTTTATCAGGGCAAACTTGTGAAGGTTTCGACATTTGAGTCGATATCGTCAATGGGGTATAAAATTTTTTGTTAAAAACTATTATTGCGATCGTCGAATTTTGATTGAATATTAAAACCACCCAGGGGCTGATCTAGGATTTTCTCGGGAGGAGGGGGGGCGGATTTTCAAAAAATTTTCGAAAATTTTGACGACCTTTTTTTAGGTCGATCAAATTGATTTTCCGAGCTCTCCTAGAGCAGTAAAAAGACCCTGTTTAGGCCAAATTTTCTACGCCGCAGGCAAATTTTTGAAAAAACAGGTCAAAAAAGCCGTTTTTGGGCATTTTTTGGAAAATTTTGACAAAAAAAAATTGCGTTTTTTTGGCGCGCGCTCCCCCTCAAAGTTAGTATATATTGGCGCCAAAAGCGCCTTTAGAAAAATTTTAGGGTCGGTCGGTCAAAAATGGATTTCTTAAAAAGTACCAAAGGGGGGACCCTTTGGGTTGGCAGGGGGTCGAATCCCTGAGGGGGGGGGGGGGGGGCGTCCGCCCCCCCCCTAAATCTGCCCTGAAACCAGGCAAATTTTTGAAAAAACAGGTCAAAAAAGCCGTTTTTGGGCATTTTTTAGAAAATTTTGACAAAAAAAAATTGCGTTTTTTTGGCGCGCGCTCCCCCTCAAAGTTAGTATATATTGGCGCCAAAAGCGCCTTTAGAAAAATTTAAGGGTCGGTCGGTCAAAAATGGATTTCTTAAAAAGTACCAAAGGGGGGACCCTTTGGGTTGGCAGGGGGTCGAATCCCTGAGGGGAAGGAAGCGTCCCCCCCACTATATCTGCCCTGAAACCACCCATGCATAACTATTCCGATATTCTTCAAAAGTCGGAACAAAAAGTCTGCTCGTAACGGAGCCGTGAATTCTTCGACTGCACTTTACACCAATTAAAATGTTTAGGTTGAAAAATTGATGAGTATTAAAAAATTCCATCTTTTTTCATTATTATTTTTTAAATTTTGTCCCTCCACATGCTAATTAAATTTCGCGCTATTTAAATTGTGCCATTTTTATCCCTCCACACGCAATTCAGAGACCTGTATTGTAATAATAAGACCACATGACCTGACTCAATTCAATTTTGAGCGATGTAACCCGCCGCTTTTTGTGTTTTATGAATGCAATATATCGTGCTTTAATTATCTCATTTTGAGCAAGTTAGCAACTTTCAGACTCATAATTTAAATAAAACGATCACAGCTAGAAAAAAATTCGGAGGTCGCAACAACAAGAAATGTTTACCAGAACTCTTCTTCGTTTCATCCACTTGAATGTTTCCATTGCAAGTATCTGCTGGTTATACATTCGGCTAATGATGAAATTAATGCCCTATAATAGTGCTTTTTCTTTGAGATACTCGCATTTATTTCCAGATCTTTGAAATCAGAATTATAATTGGCTTATATTTTTTTTGATCATTCGGTCCTTCCCGTAGTGACAAAAATATATAAAAACCGATTATCTACAGTAAAATATACAATTTTTATATCTGCTGTAATTTTTTATAGTAAGACTTTGATTATGCAGTTTCATTATTCGATCATAAAGCATTTCATAAGCATTTCGTATAAACGTTATAAACGTATAAACATTATAAACGTTTTATACTGTATGTCTCCATTATAGTCTCATTTAAAAACTTTTCAGGTTGTGTACAGGTTATATATAAATTATCTATAGATTATCTACAGGTTATCTACAAATTTTACACTGATTATATACAGATTCTATACATACTATATACAGATTATATACAGATTATATGCAGATTTTACACAGGCTATATGCATATTACTTACAGATTATAAACAGATTTTCTTTATACACTCGCCAATCAAATAATATGAGAAGGAGTATAATGAAATAACAATATAAAGTACGCTTTTCATTGAGATTTATGTACTGATATTTGATCTGAAAACGTTTTTTTTTTTTTTGAAAATCAGTTTTGTGGAAATAAGTTGCAGCAAAAATTAATTGCTCTATAACATTTTTTTGTTGATTTTGATTTCACAAAATTGTGCTGGAAAAGTTGATCTTTTTAAATTACTCTCCTTACCGCGGGAACCCTTAGATTGCAAAATTTTAGACGGATCTCTTGAAATTTGTAGCATGCGGTAAATAATTTTCCTCAAGTGAGTTCATCTCACTTTGACACTCACAGAAAGTTTTTCGTGATTACAAATTTTTGTTAAATTGAAAATAAAAATTAATTGAATTTCTGATTGGTCAAACTTGAAACTGTTACGACCTCTAAAGTTTTTAGGCACTATAAACAATTTATACAGATTATATACAGATTATCTACAGATTATATACAGATTATCTGCCGATTATATACAGTTTTTTGTATAAAGATTTAATACTGACTATATGCAGATTATCAACAGATTGTATACAGGTTTTATAGAGTAGAATAACTAATTATTTTGGCACTAAAACTCATATGTTTTTGATGAAAAAAATTCTATCTGTATAGTATTGATTATCGTTTGCAAAATTGTTGTAGATAAATCGGTTCTATACAAACGTTAATCTGTAGATTTTCTGTACATAATCGATTTTTATTCAGTTTTGTCACTGCGGGCTCTGTCATGAGGAACTTCCCCGTAGAACATGCTCAAAAATGAATCATAGAAATGGCAATGCAAGGAAGTTATCTGGAAGCGCAAATTACTACATTATAAAAAACTTAATATTCATCATTTGAAATTGTTGCACAAAGAAAGCCAACGGCAACTGCATTTGACCTGTGTGGGTGTTTCAGTCACATTACGCCCCAAGAGTGGGATGCTCACAGCAGATACAATAGAGCAAGGGCGGAGGCGGAGATGCAAGCTTCTATTGCTCTCAGAGGTGCCATCAACCAGACCATAAGACAGGTGAGGACCCACTCCATTTTTCCCTCTAGGCCTTATGAATTCTTGTGATATCTGCTTGCACTATACCAATAAAACCGATACAAACAATTTCACCTGTTAACAAGTTTTTAAACGTGGAACCTCTCTGGTTACAAAAAATAAGTTGTTAAAAACCACTAAAGCTAAAACTTAGACATGATTAAGTTACCAAAATCACTCTGCATAATTTTTTTTAAACAACACTATTTTCGTTTTGTTTTGACTGTCAATAAACAAGTGTTGTAAATAAGCGACAAAATACTGTAGCCTAAGTGATACAATTTCCGAAATTTAAACAAAATGTACAAAATTTCATTTTTTATCATTTAAATTTTATGCCCAGCAACTTGGATGAATGAAGGGTAGAAAAAACCCAATTCTCTGATCAAGTGTTATCGGTAATAAGAGCCTGAGCTGCACGCTAACCCCGAGAAAATTGCCCCCTTTTTTGTGTATTTTACCAATTCCGTCAAAATCCGCAAAGCTCAATTTATGAAACAAAAGTGAAACACTCGATGATGATTGGCTGAAGCAATGTTGTTCAAAAAAGTTTGAATAACGCATTCAAATTAGAAATGATACACGTTCAAAAAACTTGAGGTGCTATCTAAAAAAACTCCTCTTTTTTCAATAATAATTTTCAATAGAGATGATTTTTTGTTGATGTGTTTAGACAGCGAATGACGTGGAGGCACAGAAGGAGGCGACTGAGTACTCTTTGCGCAACAGAATTGCAGATGTGGAGAAGGCTAAGGTGGAGGACGAGTGGCAGAAGGATAGGGTAAGTCAGTGACGTCATGAAATTTTACATTACATCATTCACATCACGTCAGACCGAAGTTCAAGACATTGAAAGAGCAATTCATCATTTAAGTTCATAAGTGACAGTAACATTTTTTCATTTAATTCACACAGCCAACGCATTTGAAAGATTTCGGTCAAAAAGGAGACAGTCATAAAGTAGTCAAAGTGGTGAGCCAATCAGAATCGAGAAAATGATTTTGCACGTTTGTTTTCTTATCTCGATTCTGATTAGCCCACGACTTTGTCTTCTTTATGGCTGTCCAATTTTTGCTACGTAATCGCATTTCCATAATTACTTCGGTGGGACCCGATCAGAACCATTTTCCTGGTTTTTTCTAACAGTTGTACATTTTAGCAAAAATGAGCGCAGACTTTTCGTAACGAATGAAAGAAAATCTTAAAAATTAGCATTCAACTGCCTTGGCGAGCAGTATTTAAGTTCAGCCAACATTTAAAAACTCAAAAAGCTCACTATCAATTACCTAATAAAAGTTTCATTGGCATAAAAAAGACATCGAAAAGACGGAAAAAGTCACAGCTCCTACCAGGAGTCAAACTACTAAATATTTTCTCTTCAAGAGCTTTTACAGTTTTACACTTTTAGTTGTTGATCTTTCCAAATATTTGTGTGTTCACCATCAGACGGAGAAAGAGATCGCTGAGATGCGCAAGGACATCGCTGGTATGGAGCAGGCGATTAGAGACAAGGAGGCACCCCTCAAACTTGCCGAGACCAGACTGGAGAACAGGACTTGCAGACCCAGTGGACTGGAATTGTGTCGGGACAATGCCCAGTACGGTCTGGTGAATGAGGTCAACGAGATCAAAAACACCATCCGCACCCTCAAGGACAAGCTCAAACAGGAACAGTGAGTAGTCGTGTCTTTTTACCGTCTCCATTGATAAACCTCATTTGAATGAGTAACCTTGAGGAACTACGCACCTTTTTCAACTAACGCAACGAATTCTCCCAATTAGATGCGGCTAACTGATGAAATTTTTTTTTTCTATTCAAGACACGAGCTGACGAATTGCGAGCATAATCTGCAACGAGTGATGGAGGACTTGGCCCTGAAGAACAACTCTTTGGCCCTGGACAAGGACGTAATGGAGGGCAGAAAACAATTGGACGGGGTCAATCACAATTTCACAAAGACTGGAACTTCGAGCCAGTACCACACCATGAAGAGCGCCCTAGCTGCCTAGAAATACCTAACACCATGCAGATGACAGGGCTGGATGATGAGACACAATTGAGACTGAAATATTAGTTCTTATTTACCAAAGACGTTTCAAATGCTGTGAACATTTTGGAAAGGAACCAATTCTTTTTTCTTATATGCTTCTCCTTTTGATCCTTTGTCCTTTATATTTCATCGACAGATAACAATGAACTGTAAAAGACTAATACATCTATCTAATCAACCTAAGTGCAAAAAAGCCGCCTGTTATGCAAGTAGCTCAATGTTCGTCCCTAGTTTTGTGCAAAATAATTGAATATAAATGGATTAAGCGAACAACCGTGAGCTTTGATTCAGAGGGTCAGACACCACTTCCATAAGTTGCAAAAACTCAAAACGAATCAACACATAAGCTTGTTTTCCGAGTTTGATTGCTTTACTTTTTTTGGTCATTCTTAATCTTCCTCACTCCACCTCTCCCCACACATCAAGTTTAAAACAAACAAAAAGCTGTAGTTATCCTAAATTGCCTAAAACGGCAAATTTCAAAACACCATAACTTCAAACAAGACTGCTCGTATATCACGGTGAAGCCTTGAATGTTCCGATTGCACTTTAAGGCCAATTAAAAGCTTTTCGGTTTAAATTGGACGAAAAAATCTTTAAAAAAAAGAAAAAATACTTTTTCATTTTTTCTTCAATTTGTGCCTTCATACGCTTAAATGGATAAACTACAAAAATGATGTATTACGCGTCTGTACTAATTATAAAACTAAATGGTTTGCCTCAATTTAATTTGGAGTACGATCTAATTTTCCGCTTACGATTGTTAAGAACGCAATAAATATTTTCAAAGGAGTTTTGACAAAGATGGATTCAAAACTGTACAGTAAAAAAATAGAGTTGAAGTACAACAAGACTACTCGTATCAGGGCGAAGCCCTAAATGTTCCGACTGCCTTTTGAGGTTTTATGGAGCAGTAATAACATTAAAAAATTAAATGTAAGAAAAAATAAAATGAAATTTTTTTTTCTAAAATTTGAATTTTTTTCTTCTGAAAATCATCCCCCCACACGCCATACAAAGTATAAAAGGATAGATTTCGCTCCTTGAAACAAATCAAATACGGCAAATAAGCTTCTTTCAACCAATTTGGAACGATTTTAAGACGGATTAACTCTCCGCTCACGCGTTATTAGCGCGAAATATATCGCGCGTTAATTGTCCCAAGTTGGCCAAAATGGCAATCTTTAAACCCCATTAATTTAGGAAAAAAATCACAGGTGAAATATCTTTTCAATTTTGAGCTCAAGACAACACTACCTTTCGAATGATAAAAAAATCCGTCAAAAATGGCTAGTTAAAAAGTCGAAATTTGTCTGAAAAAAAAACCACCCCGAGCACAAATATTCCATTACTTTCAAGCGTATTTTGCAAATGGTCAGATAAACTTGAGCTCTGGCGACAAGCCGACAAAAATCACAAAACAAAAGATTGGCCGACAGTCAAATTTTAGGTCTAAGATTTTTAGCTAGCAAAAAGAACACGTTCTGGCCGGGTTACAGGCCTGGAAACCCGTACTACCAGGCATGAAACCTACTTCTAGAGTAAACATGCTGAATGAGAAGCAGAAATTTAATTTTCTATAAATTAGGCCATCGATGATTCAATGATTCTGGTAAGCAAGTTGTTTGCTTGAAAAAAAATGTTATAATTTGACAACGCTGAGGAGCTACTCGAATTAAATAGATTCCAAATTAATTTTTTTTTAATCAGTGTAGGCAATTTGAATCCAACATTTTTGGCTTTTATATTGTTTAAGTTTTTGAAACACTTAAATCGATAAATTAGTTAAGTCAAGATTTGAACTTTGATATAATTTTTCAAAAATATGCTTTTGAAAGACGGATTTACAATCAATTTTCAAAAGTACTTTCGAAAAACAATAGCAAAACTCAGATGTTCATTAAGCTAATTTATTAGTCACAATTTAAATGTCTATCATTTATTTCGTGAATTTTTGCACGCAACCAGCTTTTGTTTATTTTTATTACAAAATAATTGACCTTTTTTATTCAGAAAATGTAAATATTTCTCTAAAATGGTTTCAATGAATATTTGATCGCTGAAATGTTTTTACTAAATATTTGATCTTTTAATTTTTTTTTCAAAAAGTTTGATTTTAAAAATTGAAATTATATTTAAATTTTGATAGCAAACTTTAATAAATTAATGTCGAAGCTCAGATATTCAAGAAAATACTTAATCAGTCACAAAACTTAGTTCGTGAATTTTTTTTAAAACAACCGATATTTGTTTTTCATTCTTCAGAAAAATTTGGCGCGCTAAATATCTATTAAGGCATTATACAGGTAGTGACTATTTCGGCTACAACATCATTCCAATTTGAATTGAGGTCAACTAAGAGTTCCCTTTAACGAGTCAATGAAAACAAAAAAATACCTTACTAATTTTTTTCCCACTCAAAACTATGTACCACACACACTTCAGATAGATCATTTTAGTTGCATTTCATTTTCAAAAAACTCGTTAATTGCTTCAGGCTAAAAGAACGCGCGTGAAGCGAACAAAAAGAAAAGACAACTATTAATCCTGCTGTGAAAAACTAACCTTCTCTATGCTTCGCACTTATTCATGATGTGAGTAATCCCTCATATGGGTTTGTTGAAAGAGCGGTGAAGTCCAGTTTGTAATTTATAATTTATCGGAGTGTGATCATAATTTGTGGATGATGTCAAAACCACATAAAAGCTGACAATTTAAGACTTGAGAACCGAAATTCTTGGATATTTGCCGACCACAGAAAAGCAAAACAAGAGGTCCGCAGCTGCAAAAGTGTCCCAGCTGTCCTTCTCAACGTCAATTCGGAGGTCTCATAGGTCCCCCCTGTGTCTGGGACTGCGACTAGCTGCCTCCAGATAGGCAGAATGTCCCCCAGCTGTCATTCTCAACGTCAATTGAGAGGTCTCAGGTGTCTCCCCTGCGACTGCGACTACCACTAGCTGCCTCCAGAGCTGCAGAAGGTCTCCACCTGCAGTAATACAAAAAACATCAAACGAATTTTGCAAATGGTCAGATAAACTTGTGCTCTGGCGACAAGCCGACAAAAATCACAAAACAGAAGATTGGCCGACAGTCAATTTTCAGGTCGAACATTTTTAGTTAGCAAAAATAACACGTTCTGGCCGGGTTACAGGCCTAGAAACCCGTACTTCCAGGCATGAAACCTCTTCTAGAGTAAAAATGCAGAATGAGAAGCTGAAATTTAATTTTCTAGAAATCAAGCCACCGAATGATTCAATGATTCTGTTAAACAAGTTGGTTGCTTGAAAAAGATGTTATAATTTGAAAACGCTGAGGAGCTACTCGAATTAAATAGATTCCAAACTAATTTTTTTTTGAAAATCACTGTAGGCAATTTGAATCCAACAGTTTTGGCTTTTCAATTGTTTAATTTTTTCAATCATTTAAATCGATAAATTAGTTTATTGAAGATCTGAACTTTGATATAGTTTTTCAAAATTTTGCTTTTGGAAGACGGATTTACAATCAATTTTCGAAAGTACTTTCGAAAAACAATAGCAAAACTCAGATGTTCATTAAGCTGATTTTTAGTGACATTTTAAATGTCTATGATTTATTTCTTGAACTTTTGAACTTAACCAGCATTTCTTTATTTTTATTACAAAAAAATTGACCTTTCTTATTCAGAAAAAATTAATATTTATCCAAAATGATTTTTACTGATTATTTGTTTGCTAAAATGTTTTTACTAAATATTTGATCTTTGAATTTTTTTTTTTTAAAGTTTGATTTTAAAAAATGAATTTATATTTAACTTTTGATAGCAAACTTCAATAAATTAATGTCGAAGCTCAAATATTCAAGTAAATACTTTATGAATCTCAATAGAAATGTCTCTGATTTAGTTCGCGAACTTTCGAAAACAACTGATATTTGTTTTTCTTTCTTCAGAAATATTTGGCGCGCTAAATATCTATTAATGCATTATACAGGTAACGACTATTTCGGCTACAACATCATTCCAATTTAAATTGAGGCCAACTAAGAGTTCCCTTGAACGAGTCAATGAAACAAAAAAAAATACCTTACTATTTTTTTTCCACTCAAAACTATGTACCACACACTTCAGATAGTTCATTTTAGTAGTATTTCAGTTTCAAAAAACTCATTTTATGTTTTTTGTATTACTGCAGATATATTTACTTCAGACTAAAAGAACGCGCGTGAAAGCGAACAAATATAAAAAACAACTATTAAACTTGCTGTGAAAAACTAACCTTCTCTATGCTTCGAACTTATTCATGATGTAAATAATCCTTCATATGGGTTACTTGAAAAAGCGTTGAATTTCAGTTCAAAATTTATAAATTATCGGAGTGTGATCATAATCTGTGGATGATGTCAAAACCACATAAAAGCTGACAGTTTAAGGTTTGAGAACCAAGAGTCTTGGATATTTGGTCATCACAGAAAAGCAAAACAAGAGGTCCAGAGGTGCAAAGGTGTACCAGCTCTTCTTCTCAACGTCAATTCAGAGGTCTCAGAGGTCCCCCCTGCGACTGGGACTGCGACTAGCTGCATCCAGGGCGGCAAAAGGTCCCTAGCTGTCATTCACAACGTCAATTGAGAGGTCTCAGAGATTCTCAACGTCAATTGAGAGGTGCTTTGTCTTTGGTTGCTTGTCTTCATCATTCGCTGAGTTTCATAATTCGCTGCTTTGTCTTCATCATTCGCTGCTTTGTCTTCATCATTAGCTCGGGGTGCAAAGGTAGTTTTTAAAAAAAAAAAGACCCAGAGCCAAAACGCGATAGCCAAAATCTCCTTTACCCAAAAAAAAAGAAAAAAAGGGCAAGCAATGTAACCTACCATTCCAAAAACTTTCTCGAAACTTGTGAAAAATTAAAAAAACGCCCATTGCGTAAAACTTGAACCATTGAGGTCTAAAAAAAATTCCTCATCTTATTCAAAAGGTTAAATACTATTCTCAGCCAAGTTTCACCGCTAAAAAACTATCAAAAGTACTTGGTACTTAATAGTTGAAGTACGTGATACTTCATAGTTTCTTAAAAGCTTATAAGAGCCCTACACGAAAAACGCACGCAAAAAAAAACAATTGGTATCTAAAATTACTTTCAACCATTTCATAACTTTTTTCTAACATTATTATACCATTCTTTAGCCTTATCTTTACTTTAAGGATGGCTCCAAAAATTTCCTAACAACCACTCATAAGCAAATGGATGTTTCTCTAAACTTCTCTCGAGAACCTTGAACAAGAACTTAGCAGTGAAATTGCACAATCTACGGAATTGGAGGATGTTAAAATAACGGCTAACGACCTTTTGAATTGCCTGCGAGAATCGGAGAAATTGGAAGATAATATAGCGTCGTGCCCTCTAGCAGACGCGTGCAAAATCTTCTAAATGATGCCTCTTCACTGCGAAGCCGCAAATTTTTGCTAAAGAAACAAATGCGACGATATGAAAAACACCACAAAAACACTACAGATAGATGACTCTTCCAGTCACTCTACTCTGTAATTATCTTCACATACGATCCTAGCCAACAGTGCTAATCCCGTGCGAACTTCCATACACTACGACAGAAAACTCGAGATCTATGCAACAGTTTCCATGTCCATCACATCGACGAAAATGTGATGATATTTATGATCGACCTGGTTCCTATGAGAACCCATATTTCTCTAAAAATGATCAATGTACACTAAATCCATCGCTAAAACAGCTACACACTGGTACTAA